CTTTGATTTGTTATTTGTTTGAAAAAAGGGAATTCCTCAAAAATAAACCCTTACTTGAAGAATGTCAGCACTAGAAACTATGTTAGAAAATATATGTATCCCAGTAAATTTAAAAATAAAGAAATGAGATGTAAAGAGATTAATGACTTGTCCAAGTCACAAAATGTCTTATGCAAAAAGTGTGTACTCCCATAATCACAAGTTACCCTAAAGGTACTAAGTTATTAAAATAAAAAAAACTATAATTAAGACTAAATAAAAGTTAAAATCTTTGGGGGTAAGGGTATAAGAAATTAAATACCCCAAGATGGTCTTTTGAGAAGGTATGTTTTAGGTAATATGAGAATAAAACCCAACAGTGTGTGTTCACTTTGAATTTCAGAGTACTTGATTTAATTACAGTATCCCACACACACTAAGCAGACCAAAGACAGGAGGAGAACAACTTTATACCTTTCCAAGAGATGTGACACCCAATACCGTATAACTAATGTCTTCAGTTATAGCTGGCCTATAAGTCTTCATATGCCCTCAAATTGTTATCCTAAATCAGACCACTTTGAAGCACATTTTTTTTTAAATCCTCACCTGAGAATATTTTTCCATTTTTGTTCAGATAAAGTGGGAGGGAGAGAGAGAAAGAGAGAAACATCAACATGAGAGAGACATATCAACTGAAGCACTTTTTTTTTTTAAGTTAACAAGAGCTCTGGCTGGTTTGGCTCATGGGTAAAGCATTGGCCTGTGCACCAATGAGTGGTGAGTTCGATTCCGGCCAAGGGCATGTACCTCAGTTGTGGTTCATCCCGGGCCCTGGTCAGGGCTGTGTGGGAGGCAACCAGTCGATGTGTCTCTCTCATGTCGATTTTTCTCTCTCCCTTTCTCTCTCTCCCACTCTATCGATAAAGAGAAAAATATCCTAGGGTGAGGATTTAAAAAAAAAAAATTAACAACAGTTCTAAATCAATGACTAGTATGCTGCCCACGATAGGAAAAAAATAACAGACCCTATCTATAATTTTAACATATATTATATTACATAAAAATATCAATGGCTAATATTATTAGGCTGTTTCTTATGTGCCAGGCATTGTTCTAAGAGTTTTACATATACTGTCTCATTTACTTCTCACACACCACATATCGTATGTTTACTGTATGATAACCGTATCTGCAAGACGTAATTTTAACTCTTAGTGATCTGTTGAGTAATATACTAACTTTGCATAGACCCAACATGTACCTTTTAAGATAATATGATTGTAGAAACTGGGTTGGAGTGGAGACAACCCGAATGTTCATGCGAGGATCCATGAAAAAACAAAATAGGGTCTAAACATAAACTAGACTATTGTTCAGCCTTAAAGAGGAAGGGGATGTTGACACATGCTACAATATACATTAACCTCGATGACATTATGCTAAGTGAAAGAGCCAGTCACAAAAGGGCAAATACTGTATGATTTCACTTACATGAGGTACCTAGAGTAGTCAGATTCTTAGAGACACAAGGTAGAATGGTGGTTGCCAAGGACTGGAAAGAAGGAAGAATGGGAAAGTTTAATGGGCGTGTCCGTTCAGGAAGACGGAGTTCTGAGATGGACAAGGGTGACCACTGCGCAACAATGTGAACGTGCGCAATGCCGCTGGGCTTGAAATGGTTCAAGTGTTAAACTGTATGTTACGTACATTTTACCAGAAGTTGTAAAATTATTCAGATGATTAATTTTCTTACCTTCACATTTACTTAGATACACAAAATAATATTTATATGCTTAATGGGGACATCTTCAGAAAGTGCTTTGTGTCAAGTCTGAATAAGATTAGACAAAGCCCTTAGTCTTGAAAACTTTGAGTCTAAAAGATGTATTCTTCATATATAATTATATGAAAAGAAAACAATAACAACATATTAGAAATATGTCCAGATAAAGAAATAAAACTAGGCCTCAATTTTATATTACTCACAGGGTCAACGGCTCATAAATACATAAATTATATTTTGCTTCAATATAGATACCTTTATGTAAATAAATAAAGCTTTTTCACAGATTACTATATTATATGATTGTATCTTCAATTAATTTTCAAAACTATGGTAGTATCCTCAAATGTGAGTAATATAAAATAATCTGTTAAATTTGTACAATTTCACTACTATGAATTTATTTTATAAAAAGTTGAAATGGATAATATAGTACTTTCAAATTCTTAACTAGTTTTACCAATATCAAATAAGTACTTTTTACAATATTGTTAAAGGATTTAGGAAAAAAAACAACCCTTAGAAACCACATAACATCTTTCTTCTCCAGGAATGGGCTGTTCATGGCTTCAATAAAAGGCAGACGGGAGGGGAGACAGAAGGAGCAATGTTTTACTTGTTAATGTCTACCCAAATCTTTTCCTAGCTCCAACTCCATTTCCCACTCTTAACTTGGCTACAATCACTTTATAAACAACTGCATCTACACCATCTTAATCTCTTTCATGACACTCTCAAAACATATATTTTCTCCTGTCATAAGGTCCCCACATCGTAACTTTGTATATGTAGTTCTATATTCTCTACCTCTAGCTCCTTCCCTTCCCTTTATTTTAATAAAGTTACTTACATATCTGCCATCTTTGAAACAAAAATACCTTACTTGACCTTGTACATCCATTTTACTATATAACCTTACAGTCAGGCAGCCTTGAAAGTATAATCCTTCTCTCTACTTCATCTCCATCTCCACCCTTATTAACCAGCTCGTACCTCTCTCCCCATCATGCCACTGGACTGCTCTTGCTAAGGTCTCAATTTATAAATGACAAAAACAAGAGACATTTTTCAGGACCTCTCTTTGGCTTCTGACACAACCACCACATATTCTCAAAATTTTCTACTTTTCATTCAGAGTTATTACTCTTTTGTCTGTAATATATTCCAGTTTCTATGTTCCATGTTAAATAGACTTAGTTTTATGGTATATATAGAATTTTTACAAAACTTTTAATGAGACCAGGAATATCTTCCAAATCTTTTGTTTCCCAGAGCAGGTTTACTGGTTATCTGGCAACAAGGCATTTAAAATTTGCTCATGTTCTCTTTGATGAGAAGTAGTTGTATTATATTTTCTAGCAAATGTTAGAGAATAAAACAGTCTTTCCTTGAAGGAAAATATAATATTTTGATAACAAATGTGAAAATAAATGCTGTTTGAAAGAAATCTGTAATGTAGAATGTATTTTGAAAAAAACAATGTTGATCGTTGCCAAAAATAGTTAATTTTAGGTAAATTAATAAGATTAACTAACACATATCAGCATACTTCAAAAAGGTAGAGAACAAACTTTTATCTGCTTTTAAATAATCCAACAAAGAATTTTAGCAGGTTTTGAACCTGCTACAAACTTTTAAAAATAAACTTTCCAAAGAGTTTATAGGAACAACTACTTGGTATCATGAAAGATGGCAATTACCACCTGGTTTCAACAAGAAACTTTTAACTATTAGAATTGAAAAAGTACAATTTAGTAAACACAGTCAAATGTTACATTTCTTTCATTTGGATGTATGTATCTTTATTACGTATCTTTTTCAACTATGACAGCTATTAAAAATCAATTTGTCAAATTGTACATAATTCCATTATGGTTATATGACATTTTAAATAATTACATAGTTCACCTACTAGACTACAAGTTATTTAAAAGCTGCAACTACATCTTCTTCATCTTTGTATCCCTAGGACTTTGACTATATGGCATACAGCAAATAGTTATGCAATAAATACTGTGTGAATGAATGACCCAATATACAGGCAAGTACGTTAAAATGAAAATATGCACATACTCACAGACATACCTAAGTATGTGGTAATATCTAGTTAGGTATACAAAATATTACCTAAAATGGGTGGCCCCAAATCACAATGCACATATATCAACGCACAATACATTAATTCAATGGTGTTAAATGGCTCAACTTGTATTTGCATATTAATTAGGTAGGTTCTCATAAATAAATATATTACAGTTGCCCCATATAACATGTGAGACTCAAAATAACAAGTTAGAAATAAAAATCAAATGACAGCATTTTTATTTTAAAACTTGGTTTATATCCACCAATCTCATTAAGAATGTGATGGCTACTTAGCGTAATTTTCACCATGGTATAAATTTTCCTTTCAAACTATATTTAAAATTTTAATGATCAGTCATATCATTACTATACAAATTATTTCCCAATACTAAATTACACTTAGCCCTCTATAGTAGTTAAAGCAAAGATGCCCACATTACAATTTTATTGGGAAAAAATTAGATGCACCCATAGAATTATATTCTATTAACATCTTTAATTCTAATTGCATTTTTGAAAGAAAAAACTCAAAGAGAAAAGTAAGCAAAATAAAAGAACAAATGCTGTTACCAAGAAAGGATTGGGGTTCATAGTACATATGTGTGTGTGTGTGTATAGTTTTGCTAATATCACATAATAGATTGCTAATGATTACAGGAATTATTATATTAATTAAATCCAGAAAAATTCTTACCTTATAATACTGAGACATAAAATGACTGAGTAAACCTTAACTAAATTTTATGAATGATTTTTATCAATATTCTGTGCACAAACTATATCTAGGGTCTTTCTTCTTAAAATGCATTACAAGATCAGTGTGGAGCTTAAAAATATAAAATGTACAAAATGGAAGATGTATTAAATAAAGTAGTAATCTGTAGTTAATAGTACCACTGGTTTCTTTTCTTTTTCTTTTTCTTTTTTTTACAAACATTATAAACTTCCTAGAAAGTTGTCTCTCTCATTCTCAGGTTTATAGTTACCTTAATTATGTAAGTTTGATGTTACCTAAAAAATGTATCCATGGTCTATCGATTGTATTCTAATAGTGCTTAAGAAACAAAAGCAGCTACAATACTTAAAAGATAAAAACAAAATAAAATAAGTGAAGCCAAATTAGAAGCAAAACTATCCCACTGTTACCTACCTCCTGGAAATGCCATTAGCCAGACATTTATGGCTACAGGATTTGGAGGAGAGGGGTGATGAAGTTGGGGACAAGTTGAGAGGGGCAATCAAACTGTTGATGATCTCAGTCAACTGTGCACTCTGCAAGAAAACAGTCAACTGCTAAGCGAGGAACGTGCATTAAATCTCAGGCCTTTAGTGTCTATTAAATGATTAACTTCTCATGAAACAAATAAATATTTGTTTTAGCAAATATAGGGGAGGGCAAAAGTAGGCTTATAGTTGTGAGTACATGAAATAGAGTTTATTCTTATATTATTATTAATTATTGTATTATTTTCCAAATGAACAACTGTAAACCTACTTCTGCCCACTGTACATGTATTTTAAACTACAAGATGAGTTAGACAACTACTGATATTTCCATTTCGTGTAAGTAAATTTACATTTTACAGTACTCCTTTTCATAGCCTTTTTCATTATAGTTCCTTTATCTACTCATCCTGTCCTCTAAAACATTTGAACTCAGATAATAGCATCTACATAATATTTACTGAGGCAGACAAATTAATTATAACAAAAATCACAACTATGATTTATTAAGTGTGTACTATATGCCAGAACTACACTAGGCACTAGAATATTTCTAATTGTTACAACTAAACTGCAAAGTAGATAATATTAGAACTTCTGATATTACTATATAGACGAATTTATTGAAGTAAAGAAAGATTAAGCTGTTTGACCAAGGATTATGAAATTGATAAGAAATGGAGCTATGATTCAAATTCAGGCTTGAACCTCATGCCACATTGTTCCTTGATATTTTTTCTAATTCAAAAATATCAGTTTTTTTCAGTATACAAAATTTTCATTGCCCCTTATACCAAACTTAAATATATATATTTGTAATATGTAAGAAATATTAAATCATTCCCCCCAAAAATCATCTTAAACAATCATAATAAACATAGACCATATCAATGGAAATAGTATATTTCTACAAAAGAATGACAAGTACTTTCATTACATATGTGAACAGTGTTCATTATAGAAAAAAGGGAAGTACAGAGAGGTTTGAAAGTAAAAGAAAATCACCTATAATCATATTTCACAAAGAAAACCACTGCTAATATCTTGGTATATATTCATACCTCTACAATGAGTGTTTTGAACATATGCAAGCATTAGTGTATATGCAACATGTTTGCATGTTCACACACACACACACACATACATACACTTTTAATTAAATCATATCACATCAATTTTCTAAAACCTGGTTTTCTTACTTAATATAGTATGACTACAGTTTAAAAAATACATAGATCTATTTCATCACTTTATAATTGCGAGATATTCTATTATAAAATAAAGGGGTATTTGAAATTATTATTTTAAAACTCTTCATTTGTATGAAACTAATAAGATGGTATTAGAAACAATGAGACTAAAGAACACAAAAACTAAATCTAAATTTTGAATTCTTCAAAAAATCTTATATAACAAACATCCTGAAATGTTTTCACTACTTATTTTCTTGAAATAATATGTACCTAATGACTTTATTTTAAAAATTATTACCTTTTAGATTAAAGCTAATTTTAAAAATAACTAATACAAATAGATTCTTTATCCATTTATCAAGCATTCATTAGTTTCCATGCAAAAAAATGTACGGAATATCTATTTTCCCCTCTGAAACTCTGACACTCTCTTTTTCATCTCCAAAAATATCTAAAATATTCTAAGCCACTAGAGGTCGCTGGTCAGATACTTCGGAATAATTTTCCCAGAAGACAGCATTACAACCAACCCCTAGTTTTACCCTAACAACCACCCCACTTCAGCCTAATAAAATCTCATATGCCTGAGTCCATATTTGGGATAGTAAACTTTTATTAGAAAATTACTCGACTTTCTATTTACATAATCATTTTTATTAAAGAATCCATATTTCAATATTAACTTTCACTAAAAATCTCTATCAATAAATTATTTAAATCATTCATATCTGTTAGGTGGTTCCAGCGTTCTTTCCCTGTGAAAAAAGTCCAATGATAAACAATTTTGTTTAAATAAAGATTTTCTAACCCTAGTATAAACGAGTCATCATCCTATGGCTATATACTAATCAATATCTCATATGATATTTATATATATTCTTATATCACATTTATATATTATACCTTATATTATATTTAAATGATCTTATTACACCAATATTATAATAGAGACTAGTCATACACTAATATTGCAATGTATTTAATGTCAAGTTGCCAACTTTAACAACCCATACCCCAAGGAGACACACACATTTATTTTCATGCCGCTCACACTGTACTCTTCTCATTACCTGTTTTTCTATGTTGCGAAGAAGCAGTGTTGGGCTACTTGGTGACATTTCAAAATCTTGTTCTGGAAATGGATCTTGACTCTCTTGGGGAATCTGAGGATTCCCTGTAATATTTAATGAAGTTGCTTGGTCTGCAAATTGTATTTGTTTTTTCAAAGTGTCTTTTGGAAGTTGACATTCTTCTAGGATCACTATCCCCTAGGCAAACAGCAAGTAAAGAGTTGAAATGAAAACAAAGTGTCTGCTAAATTAGCTTTAATGTTATAATGCACTTGAAACCATGCTTCTTATTATACACTTGACAGTTTAACTCAAAAATTGGCTGATTTAAAACGTGTAGCTGAAATAACATGTGTGATGGATTAGACTTATAAAATATTGTCATAAATTATATACATGCAGTTATTTTTCTTCTATTGCTTTTAGTTATTAGAATTAAAAGCATGACACATTTAGAATAAAGTTGAAGGCTTCTATGCAGGATATGAACATTTCGGACTGAAATTTAAAACATTTCTTGATTTACTCTTCTATTTCGGTCACTCACATTTCCATTTAAGTTTTATATTTGAGCACTTCCAATTTCATAAATTGAAATATCAAACGTATAAACATCCAAACAACAATCTGATGTTACAGTAACTGCTCTCAGAGGCCTGGAAGGACAGGCCCTAACCTGCCGCCAGTCGGCAGCCATGGGCAGGACCACGCATGGAGAAGTACCCTCTAGGCCAGCCAGGGCTCTTGTTTACAGGGTAGGGGAGCTAATAATAAACACACAAGTTTCAACTCTGATGGGGTATTTTCTGAAATGTAAGTAATCAGAGGAATAAGCAAGCATCTAGCTTCCTCCATACTCCCTGCCACACGCATCCTTTTCTCCAAACGGCTTGCTAAGTCTGTCCACATTTCCTGCTGCTTCGCGCCAACCGCATCACCCTTGGGTCTCTCAGAGGCCGTGGGAACAGGAGAGAAAAGGTGAAAAGGAGTGTACAGATATGATCGGAATGATTTTAAACTCCTTCCTTTCCTACCCCTCTATCCCCTGTGAAGAATAATGTATGTTATTATATAATATGTATGTAGATGTAGATTTTTGCAAAATGCCAGTAAGCCCCTATAAACTAGCTGAAAAGATATTAAATACCTAGCGTGACTAAAATATTACAGTCTTGTAATGAAAATCAGACTATAACCTTAATATAAGTGTACAGTATTTCAAGATGGAACAAATTAAATAACTGCTGTGGTCAGCTTACATCATGTATAAATGCTATTTATCAGATGGAAACTGCCTATAGAATATAATATGCAATATATGAGTAATTTTAGTTTATACTACAGTTTAGAGAATATGAAACTTTAGAATGAACATAGCTATGTAATTAAACATAGATTTCATTATTCTGTAGTAATATATTACCTTGATGCTTGGTAAAAGTAACAAATAAATTATTTTTACCTATACTTACAACAATGCTAGTAACTTTACAAGGAAAAGAGGATCCAATCTTTGATCCCACCTCAATGACTATTTTCCTAGTATGCAAAATTATGGCTATCAAGAAATCTAAAGAAATACATTTAAAATAAGTTTGTTTTATTTGATATTTGATAATTTAAAAATTAAATTAGACTTGATAAATATAGTATCAAAAATGAAAACTCATAAAAGTATCTGAAATGTCCATTAAAAATTTGTACAAATCTCTTACTAGGTTTTTCCCAAGTACCTCATGCAAAAGAAATACAAGTTTTCACCATTTCAATTTAACTATAATTCTCCTTGGTTTATATTATGGGCCAAGCTGCTGTGAATTAGCCTGAATTCATAACCCCTACTTATATAATATTGTTTCTACGGAAAAACTGATACTGAATTTCAAAAGCCCAATTTATAAACCTTTAGAATACTACCTTTTTATAAGTAGGGGCCTACTATAGTTTGTTCGATGAAGAATAATACTTTTAAAATTTAACTGGGGAGACATTCATAGCAAACTTCATATTCTGTTTTTCCCCCTGAAACCGTTGCCCCGGACAAAACTCCCAGCGTGTGAGAAGAATGGACCATGATTGTTCTCTGCATGGCCAAGAACACAGGAAAAAGGGAAGAGGAATAAATCCTTTGGAGACATTGCAGAGATCATTTCTGTTCTTAAAAATCAGAAAAAGAATATATGTGTGTTGGGTCATCATGATGTACACTTTAAATATCTTATACTTTTGCCCTGGCCAGTTTTGCTCAGTGGTTAGAGTGTTGGCCCACAGACTGAAGGTCTCAGGTTTGATTCCGGGCAAGGGCATCTTCACTTTCCTCGGCCAGGGTCATGCGGAAGGCAACCGATCCAAGTGTCTCTCTCACATGGATGTTTCTCCCTTCCTCTCTCTCCCTTCCTCTCTTCCACTCTGTCTAAGATCAATGAAAAAATATCCTCTGGTGAGGATTAACAACAACAATATATAGAGATCCAACTATGCCTCAATAAAGCTGAATTTTAAAAAATAAGGAATAGTTTAGCCCTGGCCGGTGTGGCTCAGCGGTTAGAGCATCGGCCTGCGGTCCTGAGAGACCCGGGTTCGGTTCCCGCTAAGGGCATGTACCTCGGTTGCAGTTTGTCCCCAGCCCTGGTCGGTTGTGTGGGTGGCAGCCACTCGATGTGTCCCTTTCACATCGATGTTTCTCTCTCTCTCTCTGTTCCTCTCTCTCCCTCCCACTCTACCTGAACAAAAAATGGAAAAATGTCCTCGGGGGAGGATTAAAAAAAAAATAAAAATAAAAAATAAGGAATAGTTTAATGATAGATAAAACAAGGCAAATAACAAAAATATTAAAATTCTCTAGAATAACGAATTGAGAAAGCGGAGACCAGTGAAAACGCTAGCATGAGATGGAAGCAGATCAGCGGCTCCGAGGAGACAGCTATTTCTGACAACAGCGCTAGAGAGATCCCGCCCCAGCTCCAGGGTCTTAATAAAGAAGACAGTGTGTGAAAAAATAAACAATTGCCTTAGCAACACCTTTATTATTTACATAAAGCCACCATGACTATTTTTAAGCAAAAAACTTAAATGAAAATTTAAAACACAAGAAATGTACAATTTAAAATGCAGAAGGCCCTATTACAAGATAACAACAACAAAATCTAAAAGAGAGGCCACGGACAGCTTCTCGACCAAGAATATCTATTTCAGATATTTTTCTAGGAGTGTAAAGAAGCTGTTGCCTTAAGAAAAGCTGAAGCAGAGAAAAGCAGAAACATGGAAGTTGCCGAAATAGGAAAGCTGTTACAAGAACAAGGAAGAGATGTTAATGATCTGCTTTCCTCTCCCCTCTAAAACTTCAAGCAACATTCAGGCCACCTGGAGTGTGTCAGAGGCAAGGCAAATGACAGCGTAAACACCTAAATTTGTAGATCTACTAGCAGATCCACGCCGTGTGTTTCTGGACCAGTCACAAACTGGCACTTATTGAAACAGGATATTTACAAAAGAGCATCCCTCAATCTCTTTCCCTTCCCCTTATCTCTAAGTTAACCCAGAAGAAAGGACTTGTTTTTCTTTCTTTCCAGATACATTAAACAGAAAGTTCTGTCTCATGCAAGATAACCACTCTTCTCAAAGTTGTTTTCTTACAATAACCCAAGAAGCCATCTGAGCAAAGAAAGTACTTGTTTTCCTTCAGTATAACAGCTCAACTAAATTGCAGATGAATAAGCAATCAAACATCTTAATTCTCAAGAAATGTAAGGAAAAACTGTTCAAAATAAAGATATATTATATTTTGACAGCATAATTTTAATGACATTTTTCATAAAACAAATATAATGTGATTCTTAAGGGAACAAAGGGCCAGATATCCATCTAGCCTAAACCAAGACAAATGTTAATAAGGCCATATAAATTATTACTGGGAAGTTTAGATTTCTTTCCTTAAAATAATTTATTTCATAGATATAAACATATAATAAAACTTTTAAAAGTGTTAAACAAAAATTATATAGCACTGCTTAGAACAGACAGAATATTAAAATATCTTATCTCAAGTCAGAGCAATATGAACTAGACTGTCTAGATTCAAACATAAAACTCAGTCATTAATTTAACTAGGAACACATTTTCTCGGAAATTTGCAAACTGTTTTAAACCTGACTCCTTCTTAGAACGCTCTGTGCTATTAAAATGTTTGTGCTATGTCCTTTAAAGAAAGTGATCAGCCCTACCTGGTGTTGCTCAGTGGTTAGAGCGTTGGTCCATGTACTGAATGGTCTCGGGTTTGATTCCTGGCCAAGGGCACCTGCCTGGGTTGCTGGTTCGATCCCTGGCCCAGTAGGGGTGTGTGTGGGAGGCAACCAATCAATGTGTCTTTCTTACATGGATGTTTCTCTTTCCTCTCTCCCTCTCTCCCTCTCCCTCACCCTCTCCCTCTCTTTCTCTCCCCTCCCCCACCTCTCCTTCCTTTCCACTCACTCTAAAAACCAATGAAAAAATATCCTCAGGTGAGGATAAACAACAACAACAACAACAACAACAAAAGTGATCAAAGAGGAGATATTATTTGGTAATCTTGAAAGGACTTGGAAATCACAACTGAAGGCCCAGGTGGAGCAGGGTTAAAATCAGAAACAGTCACTGCAATAAGTGAACGGGAAACTTCCACGAGGAAACTATTCTTGAACATAGTTCCCTCAAATCCAACAGACAGAACCAGCAAGCCCAAGGTGTTATTTCTGTCCTTTGCTCCACCTTCCTACAGGCATCACCATCAAATCCTACAATGCATTAAACAATATTCATTACTTTCTACCTTTCTCTCCTGTCCTTACACAACTCATGCCTTCTGCTCCTTTGAGTATCATACTAAAATATTTGTTATTCCTAAAACAAGATCATGTTGTTTCTTGACTTCAGATCTTTAAGAAATGCCCTTTTCTCTTTTCTAGTTGCATTGATTCACCAAAGAAAGTACTATTAGTCCTCCAATGTCCTACTGAGGTATCACCCTTTTACCGATGTCTTCTCTTACCCAATAACCCCTAAAATAAGAGTTAAATATTCTCTCTATGCTGCTTCTATATGTTATTAAAAACATGAATCATATTCCATTATATTGAAGCTAACTATCTACATGGTTTATCTCTCTTATCAGAATACAAACTCATGATAGACAGAATCTAAAACTTATTAGTCTTTGGTGGGGTTGGGCTAACCCATGGTTCAAGAACTCCTTTCCCTCACAGCATTTTGTTTTCAGACCAATCGCCAGTAAGCTTACAATATTATCCCCATAATAAGCTTAGAATATTATCTCTACATTTTCACCATGTGGGATAGTTTCCCACAAAAACAAAGTTATGGAGAGATATTTAGCAATATTTAGATTAAATCTGACTTCATGGGATTGAAGGAGAACTCTTTACGTTATTGCTTCTATGGGAAAACATACTTCGAATTCCAAGGAAACAGCCTATAATTTTGGGAAAAACAATATATCTTTAAACTAGGAAAATCCCATGTTAAATTTCCCCTGGTCGGAATTAAAACAGCATTTATTTGTGTAATCATTTGCTTAATTTGTACTCCCAATAGACTATAAACCTACAACATGAGAGATTTTTTTTTTTAATCCTCACTCGAGGACATTTTCGCATTTTTTGTTCAGACAGAGCGGGGGGGGGGAGAGAGAGGAAGAGAGAGAGAGAAACATCGATGTGAAGGGACACATCGAGTGGCTGCCACCCGCACGACCAACCAGGGCCGGGGACAAACTGCAACCGAGGTACGTGCCCTTAGCGGGAACCGAACCCGGGCCTCTCTGTACCGCAGGCTGACGCTCCAACCGCTGAGCCAAACCGGCCAGGACAACATGAGAGATTTTTAATATTTACAACTGACCAAGAATAGTATCCTAATTCATACACACCCCCCACCACCTCCACCCAAAGAGTAAAAGAAAAAAAAACAAAAAATGTTAGCTCTTAGACAAAAAAAAATTGGATAATTAATTACACTGAGGCCCAATCTCACAAAATTCAGTAACAACTTAAAACGGCAATGAAATAATATTTCATACCTACTCTAATGGAAAAATCAAGAGGTCAAAAAATATAAAATGCTGGAAAGAATGTGGAGACACAGGAGCTCCTGGGCGCTGTCGGGGGAATACTGATTACCCCATGACATCCCTGAGAATGAGAAGGCTGAAGACAGCCATGCCTAGGACCCCGCACTCCCACTCGTGGACATATAGCCAAGAGCAGCTCTCCACAGGCTCAGGAAAAAACATGAAAGACAGTCATTCCAGTATTATTTTTACTGGCGTAAAAATGGAAACACTATCTATCAACAGAAAATAGGAGATGAGATAAACATTCCATTGTATTCATACAATTCTGTTCCATTCATACAATTAAATAACACACAGGAAGTACAAAGTGCATAAATAGTTTGCTGAGCAAAAACAAGCAAGTTGCAAAATAGTTTGTAGTATCCTTTATACAGAATTCCAAAGTAAAGAAAATAGATATTATTTGCAGACACATACAGACACCTATCTGCCAATAGTATAAAAACATACATACTAAAACCTATATAATTTTATTAACCAATATCACCCAAATAAATTTAATACAATAAAAAAAAAAACATAAAAATAACAAATGTCAAAAAATGTTGGAATCAGAATAGTGGTTACAGCGTCATGGGGAAAGAGAATGGGACCAGGTAGAACCATACAAGTGCTTCAATTGTACAAGTAATGCTTTATTATTCTAGAAACTAAATCCGTACTAGTAAAAAATTAATATTTGATAATTTTGGGGGTAGGTAAACAGGCATTCATCATATTATTTCTGCAACATTTTATAACCTTTTAAAAAAATTTTAAGGAGATTTCAGTAAGATATATAGTAGTATTTCTTACATATGATAAAATAAATGTCAACAAAATAGAAATTTACAAAAAAATGTATATCATTTCTATTAACTGGAATCCAACAAAATTCTGAATTGCTTAAGTATGATAAAATGAACATGATAAATACAAGGGCATTCATTACAAAGATAGCGTCTATGTACTGCAATTAATATATCAAAAATCTTAACATTAACTACATTTTTATAAAAACTAGAACAATTATTTTGAGTAGAAAGATGAGGAGAAACTAAAACAGTAATATTTTTTTAAAAAAATAGAAGAACACAGAAAATACCTTGGAGGCACGAATCTGCCTATGAACATCCGTTAGTTGTTGGATTTTGTATTCTAGCTCTGAAATCTGGGCTTGAAGCCACGTCCATCGGCTGCCAACTCTTGCTCTGTCTACAAGCCACTTCCATTCAGTACTACAGTTACTGTGAACAACACATACATTGTTAGTCCAAGCACAAAGGCAATCAAGTTTTCACAGAGGCTGCTTAATAACTTCCTTGACTCCTGTCATACAATCCCGATTTCCTTTCCAAAACATCTAATTACATGAACCAAGAATGGCATATCAACTTCTTATCAAAGAAAAAGATTCCATTTTCTTATCTTTCTATTCCACAAACACCTGTTTTTATTCAATGTTACTTATCCAGCAGTAGGATAATCTCCTTTGCTACTTAATACTTTGTTAACACCAAGAGCTGGAATAGGAGTGGGCCAGCAAAGAAAAGGAAACAAGAATGACAATACTAACACCATGTAAAAACTGTTACATGAGGCTTTTCTATGCAACCAGATGTCACCTATGGGACAAGTCATTTGAACTGCGCTAGATCTAAATCCTTGTAATAAACCTTAGCTACTCAAATGTACTCTACGTATGTTTCATTTGCTAAAACAGAAATCACTATTAGCTGAGACTTAAAATCAATTTAAAGAAATGTCAAAAATTATCAATGAATGCTCTACTACATTTCAAATGAGCAGACCAAATGTACAGATTCTGACATGTTCATTAAAATAAACCGCTTGTTAAAAACCTCACTCCCAGCATTCACAGGCCAGAGATGACAAAGAATATATGTGAAGACTTTCTTTCATGCATATGTAAAAAATAAGGGTTGAACCTTAGCTCCTCTATCTTTTGGCAAGGTGCTGCTCTAATTCACATTTTGTAAGATTAAAAATTAATTACTTTATGAAAATACTCCAACCACTCCAACCAGAAAACAATTATTTGGGACTTGTATGTGTGTGTGTGTGTGTGTGTGTGTGTGAGAGAGAGAGAGAGAGAGAGAGAGAGAGAGAGAGAGAGAGAGAAAGAGAGAGAGAAGAGAGAGAGAATTAAAAGCTTCAGATTAAAGGAAAACATGACAAGAGATTGAAGGTATAACTGAAAGACAATAACCACTTAATGGTAAAACACGAACTTTATGAGAAACTTGTCTAAAAACTGCATTTATTGTCAAAACCCACAGAATGTACAAGACCAAGCGTGAACCCTGATGTAAATTGTGGACTTTGGATGATAAAGATGTGTCAGTGCAGGTTCATAGATTGTAACAAATGCACTTACTCCTGTGCAGTACGTTGATAGTAGGGGAGGTAATATTTGTGTAAGTACAGGTGGTATGTGGAAACTCTTTTTATTTCTGCTTAGTTTTGCTGTAAACCTAAAACTACTCTAAAAAATAAAGTTTATTAATTTTTTAAAACCATGTAATCATAATGGAAAGTTTTTCATATATACTTTAGTCAGAGAAAACATTTATTATAAGAGATCATTTATTGTGAGAGAAACATAATACAACTGTAACTTTACTATACGGAACTCACCCATTATAACAGGATTTCACATTATATCAATGTTCCCAAAGAGCTATTTTTTAAAAAATTCTACTAGCGTACAAAGTGATTAAGGAGACGTTCATATATGTTAAGACTTGGCATTATTATTTATTCCATTTATAGTGATTATTACGATTTTATTAATTTGACACTCAAATAACATTTTCACAACTATGGACAAAATAAAAGAGAATGCCTATTCAAAATACCTGTTCATAGATAATACTTACTAACTGCCAATCATGAGATTAGCAAGGAAGGCAAGGGCCAGATCATGTAGTAGTTGCATAGGTGAGGGGAAAACGTTGGATTTTTATGCAAAAAGGAAGTTATTAGCAAGATCATAACAAAAACGTTTTTGTCCTGGGCACTCTGGCTACTAGGTAGAGAAAGCAGTGAAGTGGGACATGAGAGGAAATAAGAAAACCAAAGAGGATGCAACCATCATAATCTGGATGTGACACAGACAGTGATTTCCAAATATTTCACATGCTGTTCTGCATTGCCCAGCCTTCCTTGCACTTACATTGGAGCCACGTGACTAGTTCTGAACGGTGGGTTGTAAGTAAAAGTGACCGAGTCATTTCTAGTCCATCCGACAACCTTCGAAGCCACTGGTGCAGATGGACCAGGGCCATAGACCAAACCACACTGGACTGTATGTAAGCCACGGTGAACTTTTGCTGTGTTAAACTACTGAGTTTCGGAGGTTTATCTGTTACTCTAAATATAGCCTATTCTGATTAAAGCACAAATAAAAAATGAAGATGGCTTGAACTGAAAAGGGGGTGGGAGATAAAGAAGTTGAAGAGGATGAATCTAGGTTCATTTTCAAGTTGACAGGGCTTGTAGAAGTATGGTGAGTAAGCACGGAAATCAAAGATGATCTCAGACACTCTTTCAGTAAATTCTGTTCTAGTTGGAAAATTTCTCTACAACATGCAATTTTGCTTGGCTATCGAACTGATGATTAGCTTAATGGTCAAATATAATAAAAATTTTTTTTCATGGAGTTCATGTTATACTTCTAGTATAAATATTCTGATATTCAAATTAAGTTTCGAAAAGTTGTTTTTATGTTAATACACTATATTAAATTATACTAACAGAAAAATAGCAATATCATATTAAATTTAAATAAACTAAATTAATTTCAATAAACTAAATGGAGTTCTGTGATACGTGAAATGAAGTGTCTGTAAAGGATATATTACCCCACATTTCAATAGGCATGAATAAAATACATTTGCTATAATTAAAAGCAGTAAACGAGCTTTTCCATCAAAAATGCTCCCTTGGTTGAAAACGTGTTTTGTTTTTGGCAAAAAAAAAAAAAAAAAATTAACATTGTAAACAAATTACAGATAAGCATATCTCACTCAAAGGAGTTTAACTAAACCTGTTGTACCCTAAAGTCAAAACATGTTTTATGTAAATAACTTACATAACCAATAATGTAATGGCTTATATAACTCAGATCATAACCAATGAGAACATAGCTGAATGCAACAACAAAGAAGAATATGAGGTATGCCCAGTGCCTAGACTTCCCAATTAGCATATAAGACTGGCCCACCAGACATTTGACATTGACTCTCCGTGTCTCTCTGGTGTATTTACCTATTCACAGACCACCCTGTGCTGACCATAAGGAGGGGCTTCTCCTTCCAGTGCAAATCAGACCAAAGACATCTGTGAGTGGAGACCACCTTGGCAGTGAGGACTAGTCAGTCCCCAGGACAGCAGCACATGCCTTTAACCCCCACCCTTGCTTGTTTGCAGTCACCACTTGCTCAAGAAAATAAAAACAAGCTGTTTAAACCAAGTTGTTTTGAGTACAATTTCTCTTGGTACTAACTTCTTGTCAATATTGTGAACCTACACCCATTCTGACCTTGAAGTGTAGCTCTCCAGAATAAGACAGAGCTTTGTAATATTACTTCCTAAGTTACTAAGACTAAAAGAAGAGCTTATATAAATTAATTTTTGCCTTTAATGTAATTGTTTAACTAACAAAAATGAAGTAACAATGATAAAAAAATCAAGAAAGAAGATCCAGTTGTGGAAAATGACTATCCCAAGAAAAATAAAGGTTATCTTGGGAGAAATACACTAAATTATGGCAAACTTCTACACTGGTGTTTGCTTACCTAGGAAGAGCTTATCCTTGCTTGAAATTTGATTCCTTTAGATCAGGGGTTGGTAAACTTTTCATAGACAGGCAGATAGTCAATATTTTACACTTTGTGGGCCACATGGACTCTTTAACACTATTCAACTCTGCCATTATAGCATGAGAGCAGCCACAGATGATACATCAATGAACGGTGTGACTGCATTCCAATAAAACTTTGTTTACAGAGGAAGGAAGAAAGGAAGAGAGGGAGGGAGGGAGGGAGAAGGAAGGAAAGAAAGGAAGGAGGGAATAAAATAAAAAAATTAAAAAAAAACAAAAACTTTGTTTACACAATTTGTCAACAGGTTGGATTTGGTCCATGGGTTGTAGTTCTCCAGTCCCTGATGTAGAGCTTGTTTTCATATGCTTCCCAAGGGATTATGACTTCCTTTGACAAAGTGTCTGTTCAAATCCTTTGCTTACATTTAACTGGGTTATCGTCTTATTTTATTTTCCTAATGGTGTCTTTAGAGCAGCAAAAGATTCTAATTTTGATGAAGTACAAGTTATCATATTTTCCTTTTATGGATAGCTCTTTTTATGTACTAAGAAATCTTTGCCGAACACAAAGGCATAAAGATTTATTTGTATTTCTAAAATTTCAAGAAGTTTAGATCTATAATCCAATTTATTGTGTATGATGTTAGGATCTTTCCATATGATATTTAATTCCTGAACCATTTGTTGAAAGATTCTATTATTCTTTATTTTAAAAAATTATCCTTGAATAAATAAGACTATCTATGAACACTATATTAACTGTATATACACGACACATGCACACAAAACATATCCTTAGGATATCGATCTATCTCAACACCTTAACTCAATATCACACTATTACTGCAGTTTAGAGGAATCCTTAAAACCCTGTAGTGTAAATTCACCAACTTTGTTATTTTTCAATATTGTTCTGACCATTCTAAATTTGAGAATCAGCCTGTAAATCTCTACAAAAAGAAAAAGAAAAAAAGGAAGAAAAAAGGAAAACAACTAGTAACATTTTCATTAGGATTGCATTGAATCTGTATATCTATTGGTAAAGGGTTGACATCTTTACAACACTGAATCTTCCAAACAACAAACAATTTCTGATAATGTGTAAATACAGAGCTGTGTGTCATACAGTTTAACATTTTTATCTCTGTGTTATGTCGTATTTATGGATGCTAGTTTGTACCATCTATAAATTGTTTGGATGCTAATGTAAAAAAATGCAATTGATTTGTTTTATATCCTTCGACCCTGCTAAATTCACTTTAGTTAAATTCAATTTAGTAGCTTTCTTAGAGTCCTTAGTATTTAAATATATTATCATGTCAACTAAAAATAAACACAGTTGTAATTTATTTGTAACATGGATGCCTTTTATTATTTTTCTTACTACACTGGCTACAAATT